TTTTTCCTTTCCTCCCTTGAGTTGGAGTAGCAAGAAGGTACATGATGGACTGTGGTCCTAAACTGCAGTATAATATTTACTTTTTTTTTCCCTTGTAGAGATCTTCTCTGGGAACTCTTTTCTTTGAGAGGTTTCTACAGCCCTCAGAGCTGTCTGTCCCTGGGCTCCAATTAGTTGCATTTAATGGTCAGCAAGGGCACTAGAGGAACCCTCATAAGGTTCTCCAGCCAAGCAAGAGAAATGAAAGGATGAAGTGGGTCTCTCATCTGTGCTGGACTGTCATATGTTGCTTTACCTTATTATATGGTCTCACACTCAGTCTCTTCCATTCTCTGTCTGACTTTTGTTCTGTTCACTGGGTTGTTCCTGTTACGCAGTTGCTTTTGAACTCTGTAACTTTAGAGTGACAAAAACTAAATTAAAACAATCAAAACATGAGGGTCATTAAATCTTTTGTTAATACTTTAATTGTTCTTTCCATTTTTCCCTCCAAAATTATGACACTTCCTAGAGGATGATGTTGTTAAAGTCCTGAGGGGAAAATTTAACCTAATTATTTTCTAAATGCATGTTTTTGATCTTATTGTGAATGATTCATCTGTGTGTGTGCGTTTCTTTTTATTTCTTGTAATTTTTCTGGTGAAAAGGCAGACTTGTCTCAGTTGATGTATGGACTTCTCAAATTATTTAGTAATTTTTCTTTTTCGATAATCCATTTGCACATTTTCAGATCTTCATCATAGTATGAAAAAATGATCTGCCATTACTTATTTCACAGCACAATTTGAAGGACCTGTTTTTTGTTCCTTAAATGCAAAGCAAAAGGCTAACATGTAGGATAAGCTTACTGGGTTAACATTTAGAAGTTAGCGTAGCACCATTAGCCTAATTAGCACAACTAGTAAAAATTGCAACATACATTCAAACCAGAGTGCTTTTTTTAAATTCACCCCCTTGGTTCACTTAATTGGGAATTAATATGGTTTACATCTTCAAAAAGTGTGAATTTAAAATTCAAAGTAATATATTATGACTTAATGTATGATGAGGAACGTGAAAATGTACTGCATAACAAGATGCTAATGGCCTCTTGGCGCTGCTGTTTAATAGACCAGCATCTCACAGACATGATTTGCAATTGCCCTTAGCACTTGGATTATGTTTTATGGCATGGTTTCAACATAGATTAGTTGCTTTTAAAGTGTACAAATCTGTGTAGGTGGATGGGGTGTCCTTTGTATGGTGACCTGTATTAAAGAGCACTCCAAAACCCGAGAGAAAAAACTGCCAGAGACTCTGCAGTTTTCGTTGGGGCTTTGAAAGTGTTCTAATTTGGGAATCTAATCACACTCTTTCCAAAAGTTTTAAAACAGGTGCGTGCACAGAGCTTTATAATCTTGCTCCACAGGAAATTAGGCCTTTAAAATGCTAATTGGCACTCAACTTCATTCAACTGGAACTGGATTGTAAACTATGTCATATTGTCTATGTAAACTTGGAACTGCAAAACCGTTCAATGAAAATATGAATGGTTTCATGCTCTGCTTGCGTCCACGAAGGTGGGTATCCAGGAAACCGTCGCTATAAGCCAATGCCTGAGTTTTGCAACTTACCAGGAGCTTTCACCTGCAAATTTAAGTGCCAAGCAAACTCTCAGAGGATTATAATGGTGTATCTTTGTTTTGCATCCCAGCAGGCACTCTTAAAGATTAGAGGCGATGCTGTCAGGATAAACAACACACCCACTGGAGCATATGTTTGGGCCACGGGCAGCTCATTGAGGATGCAGCACATGTTAACATCCACGCATGAACTTTGGGAATGCGAGTATTGTAATTTAGGTCTTCAGAAAGAGCTTAAAGGGTTAATCAAATTAGTCAAGAGCTGTCATGTGAATGTATAAGAATAATTAATTTGGACAAACTTACCAAATGGCTGAACGGAAGTCGATATTAATTTAGGTTTCAATGAAGCACTGACAAGTTCCATACTTTTAGATTTGATTGCTCATAGGTGCCACACTGAAACCTCTAATATGTTAACGGTTCATTAAAACCTTTTTTTTTTCAGGCCTAATTAGTTCACTTATATTCTTGTCAATTCTTAGACTTGACTTGTGCTTCTTGCCTTAAAAAAACGGGAACTACAATCTCCAGTGGTGTGCTACTGACATCTAGTGGTGAATACTGAAAAATATTAACCTAGTGTCCTACTACTCAGTCTAAGAAAACCATAGAATCTGGCTAAAGATAAAACTGTCATCAAGCTAATTATTTTTTCACAACAGAGTGTAACTAACCTTAAAAAAATAAACCAAAACCTTTAAAACCACTGCCTAAACTACCATACAAACAAAGCAGGACTGTAATATAGGTATGGTGAACACTAACTGATATTTTTACTGCCTCTAAAGATTGACCACAGTACGTGCGTGTGAGAAACAGGAACACACCTGGGCTATTCAGTCAGACAGGGCATTAGAGAGGAACAGGATGACTAATAAGAGAGCACTCTTATACAGCACTAATGTTGTGAGCTACATAAAGCGACTGGAGAAAAGACTCACTGGTTTGAATAGCACTTACATGGTTCTTGTGGTGGTGGTGTGGATGTTAAAACCTCTGGCAAAATAGCTTTTCTTTTAGAAAACTTCAGAACACCAATGTTGAGTACACCTTCAAGTAAGCAAAATGATTCCAGTTTCCTAAATAGTAGCACCTTTTCCAAGAACTCTCTTCACAGTTATTATCATGTCAAACAGGTGTTCTGAATTACATTCTGTCAGATTTGAAACACTGCCCCCTATGTGCAGTAAAATCCCAACTGTGTCTCTCCGTTTGGACCTGGAGTGATCCATGGTCCATGTGATACGAGTTTTACAGGCAACAACAACAGTCTCTGTCTGTAAACTTTTTTTGGAGCTAAATTTAGCGCTGGGTTAAACAGAACAAGGTTGCTTAGCTATTGCGTACAAATTATATAACTTACAAAGACTTTATAAGCCATAGGAAACATGAAATGTTCAGCAAACAATATCAGGAGCAAGGGATGAATGGACCAGAATGAAGGGACAAAAACAAAGGTCTTCTCAGGTAAGGTAGGTCAGATCACCGTCCTGGCTTCCTGTTGACCTGCACAAGGTCACCCAGAGGACCCGGTACCCAAATGTTGCAGGTCAAAGGTGTAAAAAAACACCAAAATCCCTGAACGTGTGTTGGTGCGTGCACTTATTTATATATCTTCGAACGTCCTCCTTCTTTGGGACATGACAGGTGCCCCCCAGCTCCACCTGTCCATCCTTTTCCACAGCCACACGGTGGTGGACAAATCCAGAAAGGGATCAGTCATTCAAGAAATGGCATGCTGAAGTGCCACGGGGCCACGGAAGATCTCTGGATACCGGATCAGACGCAGCTGCCCCCCGGCTGCTATTTTCACTCAGCTTAAAGTACCATGGGCAGCCAGCATCTACGCCATGGACTACCCACAACTACCAGTCTGTCTCTGTACGCCATGAAGTCCACTGCAGGGGAGCACGAGCATCCTGCACACGATACCCAGAGCTTGCCCTCTGACCCTGATGAGCTCGACAGTGGCAGCGAAAGCTCGGAGAAATCCACTGGCGCAGGGAGCCCCATGCAGGGCCACAGGGAGGCGAGGAGATGCAGAGGGGGTCGTAGACTTGCAGGGATGAACAAACAACGTCAGGCAGCTAATGCTCGGGAGCGAGACCGCACACATAGTGTCAACACTGCCTTCACGGCTCTGCGTACCCTTATCCCCACAGAGCCGGCCGACAGGAAGTTGTCAAAAATCGAGACCCTGCGATTGGCATCGAGCTACATTTCACACTTGGCCAACGTGCTTCTGCTAGGGGAGGACTGCATGGACGGGCAACCATGTCTGAAATATCACAACATCTTACAAAGCAACACCAACCTCAAAACTCCACCGGTTCGACCCATCTGCACCTTCTGCTTGAGTAACCAGAGGAAAATGGTGAGTCCTTGAAGGTGGTGAAACTATGACCTGCCAGAACTTTCCAGAAACTGTGACAAATTTGGTAATGTATTTACATGCCAAACTTCATATTACTTGCCAGAAGTACCTTGCCTCTACCTTTTCCTGAATTGTTCTCTTAGGTGATCAACTGCAATAATGCATACCTACATATTTCGCATATAATTGTAAACCGATTGTTGTGCGGGTATGAATTCTAACACCTTTCAATTATCATGTACTTCTGCAGCTTAGAGATGGGGAAAAGCACACAACTGGGTGACAGCAGAAGTTCTCCCGACTGTCCGCTGCTACGTAGGAGCTCTCAACTTCTGAATGTTTACATGTAAAGAGACATTGCCTTGCACAGAGACAAAACATTTTGTTTTGTTTTGTTTTTATCTCTGAGGACAGACAAAACAAGCAACAAAAAGAGAGACGAATCTGCACTTTTTCTGCATGTGTGTTCACTTTATCAACTGTTTTGGTTAATGTAACCGGAGAATATGTGTAAAGTTGCACCTGGTGGGAGGCTATTTCAGTATCAGATATAGTAAGCTACACCATCCCTCGCCTTAAAAAACAGTCTTGTGTCCGCCTCTTGCACATCACATGATGGTAATTGAAACCTTGCGGTTTGCAGTGGTCGCTGTCAGTACAACGGCGAGTAAAAATCTCATCCCCTCCCTCTTGTCTCCACATCTACTCCGGGACCACGATCCCAACATGGCTCTCAGGAGACTGTAAACAAGATTCTAACCTCAGCATGATAATTTGGGTTGGGCAAAGCATGCTAAATATTTATTAGAAAGTTCAAGTGGCACATGACTGAATGCTATCAGTGGAAGTATTTCATAATGAGAAGAACATAATTTTACATGTCTTGGGACCTGGTTTTGGTCAAGGTACATGATCCCTAATACGAGCCCTGGGTTATGACCCTGACCCCAAATGTTATATAGCCTACCCTAAATCCTTGCGGTCATAATTTGAGAACACACTTTGGTGATATAATGTTGCGTAGACTGTCGATTAGTAGTGCGCACCCTCAGGTGCAGACTCAGGAAGAGGGTACATCGAGGTCTCTTCGTAACAACAAAGGGCATGCTTATGCTTCTGAATCATAAAACGCCAAACTCAGTCTTGTAGATTTTACTAAACTTGCATGAAGGAAGGCCATTTGAGCAACTCACGAGCGTCAACGTCAAGATAGAAGCTTGTTGCATTACATGCAATTTAAGACATTTCTGTTGTTGTCGATGTTAGAATGCACACTTGATGCGTCAATTACGCAATAATTTTCCACAACTATAGCTATGCAATTGTATTTTCTAGAAATGCATGCACAAAGCTATATTGATTCATGTCAACATGGCTTTTTTTGTCCACTGATTTGCACCAAATGGAACCAAAATTATGTATGAGATAGTGGTCTTTTGAGATATGAGTAGATGGACGTTTCATCTGGGAATTTCATTGGCTATTGCTAATTGTCGCTCTCTTGCTTGACTTTAAAAAAAATGCAAGTTTGATTTCAGAGTGTTCCAGAATGTGTTTCCCGTTGACTAAGATCTAGGGGAAAGGTCCCAGAGTGTGTGCTAATCTCAAGTACATCACCAAAACATCATCTGCTGAACCTTGTTTTGTTTACATTAAAACGAATTAATAGGGATGACAAATTTGAGCCTAGCATTTACTGTGATTACAATTTATTTTCAGATACTGCATCTGCGATGTGAACATTTAAAAGTAGAATTATTTTTGTGTAAGCATCAAGATGTACCAACCACTTGTTTATATCCAAAAGGTTTACCTGCATGTCTTGCACAAATCAAAACTTCAGCTTATAGGTTTGATTGAATCTGCAGACTGTGTAGAATGACTCTTCCTTGCATTAAAAAGTAGTTCTTTTTTCAATGCAGATGTAAATAAAGAGGTGCAAGGGAATTACCACATAATGTACTGGAAATATTGTAACATGGCAAGGCTTATGTAAATTGTTTGTAAATATTTGCACTTTTTAACATTAAAAATTAAAAGGTCAAAATGCATTATACCAATAATATGGCCTACCTTTACAACATTTTGAACACAAGCCTGTCGTATTCTAATACTTGAATTGTCCGCTCTTCTAAAAGTGGTCTTTTGCACATGTCAAACATCAAACAAGCTGCTATTTAATCAAGTATTTTTGTACAAGAAAAATGTCTGTACTCATGACTTTCAAACCATTAAATTATTTTTGAAAAATGTTCTGAAAGTAGTTCATCTTTGGTTTTGAGGTGCCCCCTAGTGGAAGTCACATATTGCATGCAATTTTAAAATGGTGGACAAATCTGATTTTGCAATTATTCCAAAAACAGCACATTAGATAACAAGAACCACACAAAGCATATACTTCTAGGTCTTTATTTCTTTAAAAAAAAGTCAATTAGTTACTCAGATTAAAGAAATCGGTGACAAATAAGATGGAGATACATCATAGAAGTTGGGAGTCATTTAAGGGTCTTTACAGGGTGATCAGCAAATTTGTTTTGAGCGCTGTACAGTTTCATAGGCAGGGAACAGAACACTGATGGATGTTATGGGAGAAGGACTTAACCCTTTGGCAATAACATCACAATGAGACAAGGTGACCGTTTTTCCCCTTTGTGGACACTGATCATGACAGGGCATGAAGGCATCAATACCATATAGAAAAGGTCATCTTAAAAGCAAACAAGGCAGCCTGATCAAACTCAATGGAATGTCAATTCATAAAGGAATCATTATACCAATAATTTATGATGTCCAAACTGTCAACACTTAAAAGTTCCTTGAGTGAGTAAATAATTACAAAGGTTGACCACAACTTTTGTGCTATTTTAAGTGTAAACCTCAATATTAGAAAAATCTGTTAAAATTAACCATTTGTCATAAAGCCCTTAAATGACATCTAAATGTTATGGTTTGAAAACAGGAGGTAGAATCAAAAAAAAAGAAAAAAGAAAAAAGCAACATTTTTTTTAAACAAGCACTTCTGTAACAAAACATTCTGTTGACATGGTGTTTTAGTCTCCCTCCTCTTCCTCGGATTCAGACTCTGAAAGAAACAAAACTAATGATTTCAGAAACCATTTTAATCTGAAAGTTTCAAAGAAAAAGAAAGAAACAAACAAACAAACATGCTTACCCTCCTCAGCGTTCTTCAGCCATTCTACAAACTTCTTCATCTGCTCGAGGAAGACACTCTTTCCTTTGGCCATGTGGGCTTCCATGTACCACTTCAAAATTACCTCCTCGCTCAAAACATCAGCTACAGGCAAGACAAAAATACACAGGGGTTAAAGAAAAAAAAAAAATCCCGAGCCAGAACTTTTTTCTGGGGGTTGGGGGTTGCGGGGACACATACACAGGGTTATTTGGCAAACAAAAAAAGAAAATGATTAAATTATGAGCTTTATCACGCTCATAGATACTAGAGGTGTGACAATCCACTTAGCTCATAAGGTGAGGAAAAAAAAAATAACAAAATTGCAGATACTTGGTTCACTAGAACGAGACAATGTTTTAATACTTCAAGAAATTTTCAAATGACAAAATATTCGTCTTTTAATCACAAAAAGTAAAACTATGCACTTGTATTTTGAAATGTTTTAACTAATCTAGTGCTTAACTAATGATTATTTTTGCTAATCAAGTAATCTACTGATTATTTTGACGAGTAATTTATATTTTTTAGTAATACAAATAGAACTAAGTGAAAAACAGGCTTTAATATGACTATTTATATATAAAGTAACGATGAGGCAATAATAATTGGCCTCAAATAAAGTATCAAAAAGTACATGGTTTTATTGAACAACACAATACAATGTAATATGCCTACATTTATAACAAATACCTGCAGAGGGCGCCAACGTTTAAATCCATTTAAATTTGGCCACATGCAAAGTCAGAAACTTTTATTGTGAAATCGCGATGTACAATAAATCGCATATTTAGAAATCTGTTGATGTAGGCTATTCTCCTGTGTTGGCATAGGTTTAAATGATTTACGTTACAAATCAAGTGAGTTTTCCCAGATGAACGTTAAGCAAACTCGCCGCATATGCAGAGGAATAGTTTAGCCCAGGGGTGTCAAACTCAGTTCCTGGAGGGCCACAGCCCTGCACAGTTTAGATGCAACTCTAATTAAACACACCTGATCCAGGTAATCAAGTCATTAAGGCTTATTTGAAAACTACATGTGTGAACATACAACTTTTCAAAAATCCCGGTAAATATCGTTCTTATGAAGATGACGTGATTACTCTGAGCTGTTTACAAAGCTCCGCTGCTTTTTCTAAAATAGCTTTTCTATGTAAATATGACGCTAGATGGAAATCTTTGACCATTGCGCCTCGCAGCTTTTTCCAATGAGTCGCACTCGAGACACAGGCTTCTTTTCCATTCATCAGCTGCGACTCTGCAATTGGATACTATTATGCGCGTCTCGTGTTTATAAGAGCAAAAACTTCTGATTGGCTAGTAATGTTAGTTTGGTTGAGAGTGAAAGCTGTGTTCCTCTCATACATTGGTAGGCGAACTCATGAACTCAAACTGATGTCAACAAGTGTTTTTAAATGTAGAGCGACAATGGTTTTTTTTTCCCCCCACAGCCAAACGCCACACGCCGGAGATCCGGCACGGTGCCGGTGAACTTTATAAGCCCTGAATACATCTTCAAAAAGCTTTAACCGGACGTAACCTCTGTATAGCATTGCACAGGCTAAGTAACATTTTTACCACAGTGAGCCAAGCCTTGGGCTTAGGTGCATAGTTTTTAAAAGATCAGCTATTGAAGACATACCTTTGTAAAGAAGCACCACAATTTTCTGAAAGGCCTTCATGAAGTGGATATTGTCATAGCAGTACTCCTGGATCTTCAGCAGGAGGGTAAGCTCAGACAGGCCCTGGGAGGTGAAGGCCTTCAGCAGTGGGCTGTATTGCTGCAAAGAGAGTTGGAAGAATTACTACCAGTAATTTGAGAAGTATTGCAGATCATTAAACCTTTCAGAAGCATCATAGATACCTTCAAGTGTTTGATGGCTTGCTCTGTGACGAGCTCCTCCTTTTTATTCCACTCGACGGTGCTCATGACACTGGTCCACACGATGCCGATCATTGTCTGCTCGGAGATGCTCGTTTTCTTCATCTCTTCACGAACGTAGGCAATGATCTGGGGAACAAAAGACAAAAATTAGTCAAATACAGGCATAATAAACCTCCAAAACCAAAATACGGACAGAATCAAAATCATTTTAGTTTTAAATAAAATTCTAAATTTTTTTAAAGTTCTTTTTTTTTTTTTGTGCCCAACTTAAATTGTCCTATCCAGACAAGGCAAAAACTCACATCTTTGAGGGTCTCGCCGCGGGACATCTGCTCTTGCAGTTCTTTCTGAAGCTCTTTGCGCGCTCCAATGGACTGCTGGTTGCGAGCGAAGTCCGAGAGCTCTTTCAGCCCAGCGTCGGTGAAATATTTTGAGAAGTGTTCGCAGCTACGCTTGTTGGCAGGGAACAGCTCCTGTTTTGGGCAAAAGAGGAACAGGTTACATCAACATGAGCAAGAAAAATAAAAAGGAAAAAACAAAAATGCCATGATTAATGTGGCATGAGAGAAGTTCAACATTAGTTGAGGCTGCAAACAGAATTGTAAAATTTCAGATTATGTTCTTTTTAGTTTATGCTTACGTAATATGTGCTTTTGCTTTCTTTTTTTCAGTTCAGTTTTAGTAATTTTAAGTTTCAACTTAAATTTTAGTTACTTGCCAAGACAACACTTCTATTTTTCTCAAGTTTATTTTTTTTTTCCAATTATGTTTTATTTCAGCTTTACTGTTAACATTAGTTGAAATTTACATGTAACTTTTTTAACTTATTTTTATTCATATATTTGATTATCACCTATTGATAATGTTAATACATTGTTTACAGATTTACTAAAACATTCAAAGGTCATGTTTACTTTTTTTAATTAAAGGGGTCATATGATGCGATTTCAAGTTTTTCTTTCTCTTTGGAGCGTTACAAGCTGTTCGTGAATAGATAAGATCCCTAAAGTTGCAGACTAAAGTCTCAAACCCAAAGAGATATTCTTTATAAAAAAAGTTAAGACTCGTTCACACCCTCCTAAAACGCCACGTTTAAACACGCCCCCACATGTCTACGTCACTATGTGGGAAGATTTGCATAAC